AGCAGAGGCACTACTACAAGGTTCATGGTGGGTTCGGGGATCACAAAGAATTTCACCTATCTTCACCCAGTCTATCAAAGAAGACCTGAAATATAATTTCGAATGATGATAACCATTCCCATAACATTCGGGATTCTATGTAAACTGTCCTGCTAAAGACAGACAACATTGTTAAAAATATTTTTAATTTACTTTTTTACCGAACATGATACACAACCAATGTGTGGACTTAATATCGGGATAACTTATAACTTTTCCATTGTGATTGCTCTTGTTGGTCATAAGCCCGCCAATATAGTATGAACCAAGTACTTCTTCTAGCCTAGATACCGTGAAGTCAATCAGTGGCTAAATGAGCACCTGACCCCCCTCGTAATATAAATTCCTACACCCCACACATACACACCATACTCTACACATCATCCTTTCATCCCACACTACACCTACCACACTCAACACATCATCTTTTCACACTACACACAACAACTCAACGCATCATCATCTACACCACACCTTTCACACCACACACGAGGACACCAAACACAATCAACAAAAGGGASTGGCGGACGGCGCCCAAGYCTCTTTTTSRTACGATCCGTGCGCATATAYGTTTCGCCAGTCTTTTATACGATACGTCCTTTCTTCATTCGAAAAGCCAAGGTGAGTTGVCGCGAGTTTTCGTTTGTAACAATATTTTTGGACTTGCTATTTATTACAGTGGGGTCCATTATGGAAATCGGCTGGGTGAAAGGGTCAATACATCAGATCAATATCTTCCTAATCTATCGTCAAAAACGAGTAGTTTCAAATTGCGATAACATATTTCCATATCTGCTTGCAACATACATAAAATGTTTCTGCATTCCAATTCATCCCGCCAAACATATTCTGCGTATAACTGTCATACTACATATCGAGCATTCTTCATACGTTTACGACGTAAGTTCAAGAACACGTTAAAAACTTTAATACTACTTACCGAAATCCATAATTCGTGGCAAACAAGTAAAATATGTTACTACTTCCTCGAGCGATATAAAAGTTAAGAGCGTTCCTCACCTGCGATGGCTCCTGCTCATATTTCGAAACATCTTAAAGTTGTTACGAGTATTGTTGTGAATGAGCATAAAATTGCGATTGCCATTCGTAGAGCGCACAATTTATGGAGCGTAATAAATCGCTAAGTCACTATGTGTCACCTACAATTATTGAAGCTCTGCTTTTTGCCGGCTTACCTATTTCTATTGCTGTAGCTGCACGTCGGCATTTGTGGCGTGACGTGGTGGAAAATGTTGCAATTACAATAAAACGCATCATTAAAATGCTGATGTTGGGCAAATTGCCTAAGAAAGTAAGTGACGCTGAGTGAGAAAACAGCGAAGTGGTTGCTCAAAGATAAAGCGAACGAAAGCAAACAGGAGGTGGAAAAAAACATTGACGAGTGCCAAAGGAATAGAGCATAAATTCGCACCTCCTAATCAGCAAAGCGCGACGAACAAACAAACCGTCGACGAAGCAACGAGCGAGCGCGCGAACGACCGACGACGCAAACGAGCAATTCAATTAAAATATAGCTGACACGAGTGACGTGCAACAAATTTACACTTGCAAGGACCTGTTACGGAGTTGCCACACACCGGCACGCCTAGCATGCGAGCGTCTTTTGGCGCTGTAGAGAGCGAGCTCTATGCGTTTGGTTGGTTGAGTGCGCGGTGTGTCAACTGCTGCGTTGCGACGCTTGCAGCTTTCACAGTTCGTCAATTTTTATAGCCAACGCGCGAGCGAGCGCCCATAAACACGCGGACACCCAAAGCGGGAATGGGCTCCGCATCTCGGCTGACAATAGCAGCAGCGAAATTGAAATTGTGGCAAGGAGCGGGAATGTGTTTGCAACAAAATCACATTGCGGCGCCTTACGTAATTCCATTTTTATTCAAATTTTGTTGCGCGCAGCGAATGATTTGACGTTGACCGCGCGCAAAATATCTTTCCACTAACAATTTTTATTATATTTATTTTTCTTTTAAATACCTTTTCCTGCTGTACACTGGTGTGTTAATGCTGCGTTATCAGATTTTATGCTATTTCTTTCGTCGTTGATGTGGTGTGAGGAATTGCATTTGCTTATTAACGCGTTAAGTACTTTTTAGGGGTCACAACAATGCCCTCACCATTTCTAGCATACAACGTTAACGCTGCGAATAATTTTGAAATGGTTTTTATTATTTTTTCTATGCTACGGTTTAAAGTTATAATATTAGCGCGGTGACACTCCAACCTCATTTGCACGCAACGCCTGCGAAACAAAATAATAAAAAAAATGTAAAAAAAAATTGATAAGTTAAGAATTTATAATATTTATATGCCGAGACTTGAATTTATTTATTTTTTCTTTTATCAAGAGGATATTTTGCCATCCAAGCAGCAACTTATGCAAAAGAACTGCGCTTGAACTCGCAGTGGGGGCAATAAATATTTTTGGTCGGACTTCGCTCAACTCTTTTTTGTTCCCAACGCACATTTCGTATTTAGCAGAGGTACATTTTGCTTCAAGGAGGATTTTTTTTCGATTTCAACTATTTGAAAGAAAAATTCACGAAATTTTCACTGAAATTTAATTTTTTTTTTTTTTTTTGTAAAAATGTCTGCCAAAAATATAATTTAGGGTTTTTGTCCTTCGTCTAAGTTCTAAATTAAGGTTTTAACAAAAACACGTATTTTTTCACTTTAGATGATTTTGTAAGGAGACGTGGCTGAATCTGCTTTCCTAAGTTTGCTGAGTTTAAGATATTTTTTTCCAAAAATTTCAGAATTTCTTTGTTAATAGTAGATGTTCTTAACACGTAGAAAGAAACAGTATTTTACCCGAGGAAGCCCATGTAACCTTTAAGAGGGTTTCTTAATTTTTCAAAAATTTTATTGAGTTCAAAAAAAACAGTAGAAAAAATTTTCACGACCTTTTTCGAAATGTTAATGTGTTGTAGAGTCATGAGTTACCTACATTCCCACACTCTTTCAGAGAAAGAAATTATTCAGCTGTCAGCTCAATACCGTCTCAGTCTCATTCGATCGAAATTTTTGTCGAAATTGTGGAAGTTGGAGCCAAGCTTAAGAGAACAGAGTATGGAGATATTTTATTCAGTTGTGGATTAAAATTTATTCCGATGATTTATGGCTATGTATATTACATACTGGAAAAGAATAAATAAAAAGCTTACCTAACCAATTTTTGGTACAAAAAGGACCCTAAATGAAAGTCTGATATACGCTCATCATACTCTCCAAATTCCATGATCATGAGCTAAGAGCTCGCTAATCAGTGATCATAATTCCTTCAGTGAGTCTCATATACATTCTGTTAAAACAGCGATTGAGCAGGAAGTTGATAAAATCAATTGTTTTATCTTCCACATTATTTTGGGTTCCTAAGTGCCTTTACACCGTTAAGCACTGGGTAAAGCTAATTTTACTTCAAACGCAAAGGCGGCGCTGCGAAAGTGATTTATTTCCACTTTTAATTTTTTCCGAACCCTTTCTTTATTCATTTAGGTGGAACTTCCAGGTAGCAAAATAAATTATTTGTGTCACTTGAATGCTTTAGGTTCTTTTTTGAAATTCAATGCACATGGCGAAAAGCCCTTTTGATGAGACCAAAAGGTGAGACCTTAACCTTTTTGAACACTTGCAAACAGACACACACACACCCACACAGCAATTACGACACTTCAGCAGCAAAGAGCATCCCAACTTGCTGCCCGCCAAATGCAACGAAATGCACCCTGCGCCCATACAGCCTACCCTTAGGGAATTCACTCGCAGTATTTCCGACACTGAGGGCGCTTCAGGATATGAATCTTAAATTTTTTGGATAAGACATTTTTTCACACTTTGCCTTTACTGTCCTTTCGCTGGATAGTTTGATGTATTTTTTTTTGTTTTCGTTTCTTCCTTTTCATTTCCTCGGCTATCGGCCTCGGCTCGGGAATATGAATGCATTAAGACATCTCAACCGTTGGTGAAGCAAGTTGGCGTAAGAGGAGGAATGTACGCTGTGTAGTTGGGAAAATGTTCGGCACCGACACTGCATGCAAATTCTTCTCATTCTCATTATTGCGCTAAATTTAACTCGAGCTGTGCGCTCCTTGCTCCATACAAACCTATTGATGGTAGACAGTGTGGTATCTTCAAGAAGGTTTTGCCTGTTTATAACCCTTGCTTCGCCTGCTCAATGCCATCACACCACTTCAGTGGCATTCGGCATTGTGCATTGAATTTGAATTTGATTTTGCGATATCCCCATCATGAATTCCAATGCCTCGAATATGCTTTATGTAAGTGTGTTTGTGTCTGTGTGGGAATTTGGCTGGCACTGAGCGATTGACAGCGTGCAAAATAACTAACGGGAGTTTTTGCGTATTTTTGCGCTTTTCTTACTTCCCCCCTCCACTGCTCATTCTTTTTTATGCAGCACTCTCTTTTCACCGCCTCCAGCCGCTTTTCTTGTGTTGATTTTGCAATTGTGTTATGTTGAATAATAGTTGTTATTGTTCTTTTCGTTGTTGTTGCCATCGTTGTGAATTCATAAATGCGAAGGAAAAGATGCAAATGACAGCATTAAATAAATTCCAGCACTTCAATTGTACAAATGCTACTCGCATTTCGACGCGCACAAATCTCTCGCTGCGTGTTGGGTAGGGGAGCAGAGCCGCTTCGGTTACTTTGGAAAATGAATGGCTTCGAATTGTTGGTTAAGATTTGACTCATTGCGAATAGTATTTAATTTATGAGTGCTGACAATCCTTAAGTGCGACTAGCTGCCTGAGCACTCTGCGGCATAAACTCTCCCAAGTGGTTGCCTTAATGGAAATTTGCATTCTTAGCATAACATTAAATATTCTAATGAATCACTTTTTCATTGTCCCTACAAAAATAGAAAACTCGAAAATAAAAGCAAAATTAATAGCAACAAAAAGTAATCACATATTTGATTTTAATTGCAGATTTTGGCACTGAAAAGGATCAACCGAAGGTTCGCTCCCTTTAATAATTGATTGGTGAGTGCGAAAAGGCTTTGTAATTCATATTTTTAAAATAAAATGTTGCAGAAGAATACAAAGGAAGGTAATGATTTTTCTGATGGAGGCACATTAATAGGAAAATTTTTATTTTCCCGCTTCCGACTTTATATTATATAAAAATTATCATCATCCATCTTTGTTGTCCGATCGTGCGAACTAGCCCTTCAGCTTGTGAGATATCGATTTGAAATTTTTACACGTCCTATCCGCACCAAAAGCTGCTCATTTGTCAGAATCACTAATATCATACCACTTTAGCATTTATGTTTTATCCAAAAATTTTATCAGAAACTAAGGCAAAAATGGTTCAAAGCAACTGAAAGCTGATAACAAACACCTAGAGTATGAGTACTCTATAGTACACTACAAATTTTGAAGGGAATACTGCTCGATACTGTTAAATAGCGAAATCCGTTGCTGAAACAGATGAAGAAACACAAAATTGTCGTCCCGCTATACGACCAAGATGAAGTGGAAACACCTCTAAGGCGGCTGAATTACAACAAATATCCATGCACAGAGAGACCTTTAAAGACAGCGGCGAAAAGCACTTGTTCCATATGCTAAGCATGATTTGGTTGGATGAATGATTGGCATATGAGTGTACTCTCAATTTACAGAAAAAGAGATCTAGCCTGCGCTAGTTATCATGGGAACAGTCCTCGTAATCTTGCCTATTAAGTTCTTTGAATAAGGTTATGTGGAAAACTTAAACCAACTGATTGGATCTTATCAGTATGGCATGGTACAATATGTCAAATCCTGGAGAAAACCCTTAACAAACAGATCAAAGATCACGAGATGAGAAAACACTGGAGCTTTCGTGAGAAATGTTCTTCACAAGTTAAGCGCTTGAAAATCCAACGAATGCGCTGCCCAAGCCAAGTGTCGTTGCAGCGGAATATTATGCTTAAGCGAAAAGATCGTTTGACTCGAGACCCATGTGAATTAAGGGAGTCCTGGCATCCTATGAATACTACTGGCGTGGCTTGGTAAAGAAAAGAGATATTTCGCGAAGTTTTTTGTATTTTGGCACAGATCGATCCAAAGTGGCAAACCAAATAAGAAGAAGAATATATCATATATCAGCCATAAAAACGAGACGATCGCAATCAACAGCTTGCATGTAAAGGTTTTGCATTTGATGACATATCTTTTCCATAAGAATTGACCAATGTGAGCTCTTTTAAGGAGTCTTTTGAATTTATTGAAGGTATTATAGCATTGATGCAAACGAGATTAACGCTTATTTTTATTACATATCTTCGGCTCTAACAATATTTTTTTTTTTTTAAGTATTGTGACAAAACAAACAAATACCTGGAAATTGTAAATAAAACTAAAAATATTTAGTTATTCACCAATATCTATCTATATTGTCGCCTTTAAAGTAATTCCCACCAGATGTTTATGCCAACGATTTTTCCAGTCCTCCAAACACTTTTTGAGATCGCCTTCATCTCCTTCCAATTCGATCTTTGTTGACGTGTTTGCATGTCAAACTCATAAACCCTTGTCTTGTCGGCAGTTATAATGCTTTCCATGGAAATGTTTTTCATAGGAATGTTTTTTTTTTTATAAAACTGAATCACCGAAAGCCTTTCCAACGAAAATTAAAACGAAATTTAAAAATCCTAAATAAATCCTCTTTTCTTTTTAAATAAAATTTACACAACCCAACAATTCCCTTCAACATATAACATATAAGTTTTGTAGTAAAACAGCAACCAATTTCAATATAATATTAAAAGAGGTATATATACATATATATAATATTTTACACAGAAATTAATTAAAAGTAGTTGGAAAAAAAATAACAAAAATATTTTTGCAAATGGTTCACCTTTACGTATGAGACTCTATCCAATATTTAAATAGTATTTAATTTTTTATTTTGGAAAAGTTATACATTTTTGTGCTGAACAAACGAAAATAAAGCAATTCCGGGAAATTACTCACCAACGAACATATTAATCTGCGTATTACCACCTGATTTCCTGGAATAACAAAATGAATCGCACAACATTTCGATATCCAAACACTAAGCATGAAAGTGAAAAGCTATCTATGTTCATATATTTGGGAATATATAAACATTTATTTACATGAGTAGTTGTGTGCACTTGCATGTTTGTATCATCATTAAATTGGCTATGTTACTACCCGTTACAAGCCACATCGGTATGATTTACTGTAATCGAGCGTTGCTGAAGAGTTCAATCATGAAAAATATGAAATATTCATAAGAGCAAAGCTGGATTGCGCAATATGCCATCCAAGCACCACTTTGTCGATGCTACAACAACAAATGCACACACATGCCACATATCCATATAAATGTTATATAATATAATATAAGCGTGCGCTTATGTCAGTTGGCTTGCATGAAATTTCACGAGCAGAATCCGAATAAATCCGTTACAAATTTCGAGTGCTGTTGCGATGCTTTTTTGGCAGTAAATGCCAGCAAATTTAGTATATTGTATGTAAAATTATAATTTACAGAATCACATACATGCATGTATACATATTTTCAAAAATGTGTGCTTTTAGCTAAATTTCGAATTTTACATAAGTATTTTGTAATTCATACATGGATTTTATGAAGTTGTAGGTATAGTGCTGTATCAACATGTGTTCTGTACACTATGACAAGGTCCATGGCCTATGTGTGCGTGTGCGCGCGTCTTTGATCTGCATGCATTCAGGCGCACAGGCTTGCGTGCAAGAAAGTGTCGCTCGTTCGCCCACTTACTTGCTTGAGTGAATTGTCAGCTTATTCAAGTGGAAGCGGAACTCTAGCACTCAACACTATGTGTGGACTTTATAACGGTATATATGCGCAAACGTTTTTAAGAGGAAATGAGTATATAAGTGAATGAGTGTGAAAATATTTGCAGAGTCACCCAGTCAACCAAAGTGGTTTATGCATATTTTGCGGTTGACACGAATCGAATGCCTTAAAAGATGAACGATATCTTCAGAGAAATTAGAGAAGGGTATAGAAGGTACAAAATGTGGAGCGCTGTATTAGAGTACTGTCTGCAAGCGCAGGTTGAAAGCCTTGGATTCATGTTTCCAAATAGGGATCCAGAAGTATGTTAGAATTTATCAATATAGTGGGGCAAGGAAAGTCTTTGTGATTTAGGAGAGGGTACAATAGACCAAGACCGCGGTTCATTCTTCGTTTATTAAACTTGAGTATATAATATTATTAGCCCTTTCATATATAGTTCCTAACTGTTACTTTTAATGCTCTCTGCGAACTCTGGGTTTCTAAAGTTTATTCGTCATCCTAACTCCATCGGAATTTTAACAGAACTTGAATCTTACTTGAGTCATATGAAAGTAAAAAAAGTTTTCTTTAAGTATAACTCTCTTGCAACCTAAAACCACTGCCCATTCTGTGAGATTCTATGCTCCTTTAATAATAACTACATTTGAACAAACCGCTTCAAGAGCGAATATTTATCGTTATAAGAAAGTATGACGAACAGGTTATACATAGAAACTGTTGCGAGACTTTAAAGTTAGAGAAAAACAAGTAAGGAAGGACTAAGTTCGGGTTTTTGTGTAAAGTTTTATTCCGCTATCATCATTGGTTCCTAATGTATATATTATACAGAGAAGGCATCAGATGGAATTCAAAATAGCGTTATATTGGAAGAAGGCGTGGTTGTGAACCGATTTCACCCATATTTGGTACATGTCATCAGGGTGTTAAGAAACTATTATGTACCGAATTTCATTGAAATCGGTTGATTAGTTCCTGAGATATGGTTTTTGGTCCATACGTGGGCGACGCCACGCCCATTTGCAATTTTTAAAGAAAGCCTGGGTGCAGCTTCTTTCTAAGATTTCTTCCGTTTAGTGTTTCTGACGTTTTTTGTTAGTCGGTTAACACACTTTTAGTGATTTTCAACATAACTTTTGTATGGGAGATGGGCGTGGTTATTATCCGATTTCTTCCATTTTTGAGCTGTATATGAAAATGCCTGAAGGAAACGACTCTATAGAGTTTGGTTGACATAGCTGTAGCAGTTYCCGAGATATGTACAAAAAACTTAGTAGGGGGCGGGACCAAGCCCACTTTTCCAAAAAAATTACGTCCAAATATGCCCCTTCCTAATGCGATATTTGTGCCAAATTTAACTTTAATATCTTTATTTATGGCTTAGTTATGACACTTTATAGGTTTTCGGTTTTCGCCATTTTGTGTCCGGACGGACGGACAGACAGACATCCGGATTTCAACTCTACTCATCACTCTGATCACTTTGGTATATATAACCCTATATCTGACTCTTTCAGTTTTAGGACTTACAAACAACCGTTATGTGAACAAAACTATAATACTCTCTTTAACAACTTTGTTGCGAGAGTATAACAATAACTCGTGATACAAAGTGAGGCCTGAGTATTCCTTACTTGGTCTTGTTTCAATAACAATTTTTGGTATCGCCTTGCAACATTTCAGTTAGGGGTCACTGTTGTTGATTCGTTGCACTATTATAAGCCGTTTCCGCAGTTCTGGCTTTTTCAATGGGAAAAGTTCCGTCTACAACAAAGTAAGAAGATTGAACATATTTGTTTTAACACCCTTATTTTTTAGATTCAAACTCAAGTATGGCAAACCTTTTTTGAGGACTCAGAGATAGCCCTTAAAGTTGTAATATTGGTAATGACTGTCTCTCAGATCTAAATTTCTACATGTGCGTTCAGTTAGGTTAGGTTGAAAGATGGGTATCGTTAGTTAATCAAATCATATAAATCGTCAAATTGACTTCAATGCAATGCAGGTCTGCCTAGATATTTTTTTTTCCGGTTCTCAGTTCAAAGTAAGCTTATTAGTATTTAAAGGGTAAGTAGGGATCTTTTTTAAATTCTTTTTTTTTACATTTTCTGTTCACTTATACTCTTAGAATTAATGTAGAAATCTTCTTTACCAGTGGAAGGGCTATCGTCCCTACTAGATT